TAAAAATAATTTTAATGTAAATATATATAACAACAAAATAACAGTAGTTTGAAAAATTAAAAGTTTTGTGATATAGAAAATTAATTCATAAATTAATTATTTTCGGAAAATATTATTTTTTTATTATTTTTTAATTAGTACTTAAATATTAATATTTTTTATATCGTTTTTTTTTTAAACATAATAATCTTGATACATATGAAATGAATTTTTATTTTTTGCTTTGCTAGTTGCAAATAGATATTGCAACTAGTTGCAATAGATATTTCAACAAATTTCAAACAAATGTCAAAATAATAAGATAAGATAAAATAGTAAGATATAAAATTATTATAATTCAATGAAATATATTTTAATCAATATTTTTATCAAATTGTTTACTATAATATATAATATATCAAATATAATATATAATATACCAATTATAATATACCAAAAATAATCAAAAATAATGAAGAAATAAAATAATCAATATATTAAAATAAAAATCATGAAATAAAGATTAAACGAATATTCCAATTAAAAGAAAAAAATAAATAAATTTTCTTCTATATAGATTTTTCAATTCTCAATTAATAATTATGATCTTTGAATAAATTATAAGTTTTTGTACAACAGGAAAATACAAAAATACGAAATCAGTTTGCGATACATGCATCTCTCACTTACATTTCACTCCGTTTACGTTTCTTCGTTTACTTATCATTAATCTTAGGACGTCGTCGAGAGTATTTTTATATTCGTGCGAGAAGTTAGGTATGCGATAGTTACAACTATTGGCAGTTTTTGAAAATGAATGTGCACCCTTTTCTAAATACATATACGAGCAAAAGTTTTAAGCTTCTATCTTGTTTTTTTCTTTTTCTCTATCTCTCTTGCTTGTCGCTCTTCTCTCTTCCATTTCTTTCTCTCTCGCTGCTTGCTTCATCTTCCCCTCTTTCTCCTCGTCTAATTTTCCTTGGTGCGATGAGAATTAGTTCAATGGCACGATTTCGCCCTCCGCTGGAAACGTCGCATTCTACGATGCCACTCGTCGCGCCACTCGATCACAATCGACCTTTGGGTTACTGTCAGCCCACCTTGACCTCCACCGTCGCTCTCTTGGCCAAGAATCAAGTACGATCTAGAAATTGATGTTTTTTAATCGTTCATCATCGTTTATTACTCTTCAATTCTTTCAAAATTAATAACACAATGCAAAGTAATTTTTAAAAAGATTGATGGGTTGTTGGCAGACATGGTTTTTAGAATTATATATACTCAAATCTCATAATCCGAAACTTTGAAAACTCAGAATGTTTATTTTTTTTTTTTTTTTTAAGAAGTAAATTCTTTTTTTTATTGAGAATTGAAATTTGGAAATTCAAAATGTTTATTTCCTTTTTTTTTAAGAAGTAGATTTTTTTTTATCGAAAATTGAAATTTTAATTAAAAATTTTAATTAATTTTTGAAATTTTTCAAATTCAAAATAATAATATTCATTTTTTTGAGTTTAACGAATTGAAATTGTAATTATGAAATGAATCAACAGCCTATGTATAAACAATTATTATTAAGTAAAAAAAATTCATATTGTCACAATATTCTCTATATGCTATTTACAATACATTCTTATCATATCATTTAAATTGTATAATTTATAACATTATCTAGCATTTTAAGTTTCAATGATAAAATGAATGTTAAAAAAGTTATATAGGTATAAGATAATATTGCTGTTTTTATCATTTGTATCAATTGTTTCTAAAGAGCAAAAAAAATGTATAGCCGAGGAAAAGTTGATCAACAAATACCGGATAAAGTACATGGTTCTGATCATTTATGGAAGCGAAAAGTTAAAATTTCATCTGACATAATTGTTTTTTTTAATTAATGTCACCGCAGTAGATATTAAATCAGGAGTTGAAAAAATTTAGAAAACAAAAATTTAAGAAATAATACGTATTATATATAATTTTTATTTTTATAAATTTTTCTGTTAACTTCTTAAGTTATAATCAATGGTATGATAATTTAAATATTTAATTATAAAATATTTAAATATTTAGGTTTCCTTTTAATATTACATATTATATTATATATATTTCGTAATTAATGTCTGATATGTAATGATTTTTTTAAAATTATCTATATATTTTTTCATTTGGATGAAATCCATTAGTTTGCAAAAAATGATGTCGCTTTATTAAGTATTAATAGATAATTATAAAAAGTTATAATTAAAAAAGATTATGATTAAATAAAAAATAAAAAGATTATGATCAAATAAGATTTAATTGTAATTTTCTAAATTTTAATTGTTTAATTAATTTAATTATTTTGTTTGTGCATGTTTTGTTGATAGTTATGAAGATATTTTAAAAAATAAAGATCTTACAGAATCATTACAACATTTATATAACGAATAACTTACCTATTTGGCTTGATTTTTGGGCATCTACATGCTAAATCAGCCGAATGTACGTAAAGGAATACATCGCCACGACGAATCCTCGAATTTGGAGATTTTTTATATATGAAATCAACATTCAAAGTGAAACGTATCCAAACTGAACCGGAAACGCTTGTTCCAGCTGAGGAGCCGTCGTTCTTTTTGTGCCTGTCTGTTATTCTGCCCAGAATAGCTAAATAAAAAAAAAAAAATCAAGAAATTTACAATAATTATAATTATAAAAATTGAAATATTTTTTCTTTTTTTTAAATTTTTTCTTTTTTATTTTCATTAGTCTCGTTTCTATTTATTTCCAAATTAAATTCGAAAAGATATAATTTAAACATTATTTTTAACCTTTTTGCTTATTTTGATATACAAGAAAATAAAAAGAGTTGTTCTATTTATGGTTACTTCGTCTATGAATGTTGACAAACCAGTATCCTTTATAGTGCAACGAATAAACTTATTTCATGCCATATGTAGTACTATTTATCATTTCACTTCTGTTCTACTACTTCACTTCTCGACCAGAAGTCGAGAAATATTATTTGCTTTATTGATTGTATAGAAAATAAATCGAAAATAAACGTAATAGGTAATAATAAGTTCTATTAATTTCATTGATGAGATTTAAAGATATGATTATGTTAATATTAATGACACAAGAACTAGCAATAAATGGAAATTAAAGAGCAATATTTAAATGAAACATTCGATAAACGCGGTTATTTAATAATATAAAAATAGATATAAATATAACTATAAATATAAATATAAACAATAGAATAATTAAAAAATTATAATTAAAAAGTATTGTTATTTAAATAATATAGAATATATAAAATTTTATCAATATTTGAACTAATTATTTAAATATTTAAGAAATTAGAAAGAAATTTCTTTCTTTTAATCACTAAGAGAAATAAAAATATTTGTATTATGGCAGGAAATAAAATTGAATATTTCGATATTTTTGATGCTAAACAAAACTTACTATTTACGGAAATAAGTCTAATTTAGATTAAAAAATATTTAAATTTGTAAAATACAGTTTATAGAATATGATGAATATAAATAATACAAAAAAAAATAAATTTAGAAAATGGAGTCATATCATTTTTCATATCATTGTTATCAGAATATTTTTTCTTTAATAATGACATTCGTTTTCGATTTGTACTTACCATAATCTCTTTTGCAATACTTGTTTAGGTTTAATCTTTTAGTACTGGCTCGACATTTTCCACATTGGTCTGTAACAAAATATAAAATATTAGTTCGTTATTTTTTGTATTTAATTGAAAAAATTTACATTTGCAATTTTTCATCTCATCATTTATATTATTATTATCATTATTTATTATAACCTTTTTAAAAAATGATGCTAGTACATAATTAATTTGTGTTCAATGCTCATCTAGAAAAAACCAAGTATTTAAAAATTTCGTAACATTTTTTTTTATTTTTATATTGTGTTCCTGAAGATTTAATAAAAAGTATCTTATATCTTATTTATTATAAAATTTTATATTTATACTTTTGCTGAAAATAGCTATAATATAAAATATCTTTTTTAAATAAAATTTGAGTATTTGTATTTAATTATAAGTTTAATAATTAGATTTTTTTATTATATTTTTTAATACATTCTTCCCTTATAATATAAAAATATGGATAAAAATATCAAATTAATTGATATCTATTCTTTTATATTATTCGATTTTTACCATTCATTTAATTTTTTAATTTTTAAATAAATATTCTAAACAGGAAATCTATATGGAATTATTATAGAAAGATTTTTGTCAAATTTCATAATTTTTTATGTATGTTCCATTCTTTGAATTAATATGACATATATTGTAAAAACATCTGATTTTATTACATTACAATGAAAAATTTAGAATTACTAGTTTTAGAATTACTAGTAGACAAGATACAAAAATTAAAAAAAAATAAAAAAAGATAAGATATTTCATTAACGCAGATAATTTCTTCAAAATCTATTAAAATAATACAAGTTATTTACTGATATTTATAGTATTAATATTTAATTTATAGTATATAATTTATAGTATACTTATAGTATAATTTCATAATAAAAAATTAAAAGAAAAATCTTTTTATAGTCTACATATTGAATTTGAGATGTACGTGATATTATTGCAGATTTTCACTGCATTATTACAAAAATTATCATATAATATTAATATAAACAATTTATATATCAAATTTAAAAAAAAATTGTTCTCACAATATGTTATGTAGTTACACATAATGTAGTATTGTAATTTTAAGTGAAAGTTGTGAAAGAGAAACGACTCGACAATTAAAAGAAATCAGGTCTATCGGAAAAATCCATCGATTGGCCATATTTGGTCCTGTGTAAAGAATGGTGTACTTTGAAATGTGACAAAGTCAAAGAAAGAATTTTTAAATATAAATAAAGAAGATGTTATGAATCAATGAAGAGTATCTGTATTAAATCATTAAATTCATAGATTGGCTGTTAACATTGATTATTAATTTATTTATCACTTATAATATTTCTAAATTATAACTTTCTTCAAATTAGAAATATTATAATTATTTGAATTATTAGAAATATCATAATTTTGATAATTATGACTTGATAAAAATTCATAATTACATAATATTATATTCAAAATAAATAATTCTTTGTGAAAAAGCAAACGAAATTTTTAATATCTTTTCAATTTTTAATAATATAAATATATAATATAATTATAGATGTAGCATAATCTATAATTTATTCCTTTAAAATTTTATTTCTTTGTTACAAAACTATAAATCTTTATTACGAATATATTTACATATTTTACATCTTACTTATTTTTTTATTTTCATTTAACAAATGTATAATTGCAAACGATATTAAATTACGATACACTTAATTTGTGATATAATTCTACGACACATTATTCCTTTTATCATTAAATATATCATAAAAATTATTTCATTAGTAAAAAATAATAGATATTAACAATGTTTTAAATATTTCAAAAATTGAACTATTATAGATCTATAGAATATAGATCTATAGGAACTATAGAGTAATATTTCATTCCTTATTTATTATATAATATATTACACTATTAATTAAAATTATTATACTATTAATTAATTTTTTTTTTTTTTTGGTTAAACTCGGTTAAGTAGAAATCAGCTTTCAGTTTTCTTATTCTTCTAACACTTAATATAGTTCATTATCGGTGACAGCTGTGGTTACGTTTATCCATTTATTATCTAGCCGCAATATCCATCTATTATCTCAAACAGCATGGTCAGCGTGCAACATATCCGTGTCTCAGAGTAGCGCAATTAATTTTAACTGGAATATGTCCAGTTATTCTTAACCTGACCATAATTAATAATCTTTACCAAGAGCATACGTAATATATACTTTAGAATGCATCAAAGAAAGAAATGTTAATTTTAAGTGATATAAAAATAATTATAAAAATTATAAATATAATAGTTATCAATAATTAACAAAATTTTTGTTGTTTTGTAGATGAAATTAGAAAGGAATTTTTTTTATTTCTGAACTTTTTTATTTAACTACACTTTTAATAGCAAAAAATATTGTGTTTAATTAGATCAGTTAAAGACATTCAGAATCATACCAGAAAAAAAATTGTTTTTCATTAAAACAATAAATCAATGTACAATTGCATATATTTTTAATGTAATGTCGTGATAAAAATTATTGTAATATGGATAATTTAGCTCATCATTATATCATTACAATTAAAATATTTTATATATATAAAATATTATAATATAAAATATATATATATTATAATAAATTATTATATATTTATATATTTATAAATATTATATATATATTATATATAATATATATATAAGATATATACTATATATATATAAAATATATATTATAATCATTTATTATATTTTATTTTATTTATAATCACTTATTATTATATTTTATTATTATTAATATATTATTTATACATTATATTTTATTATTGATTTTTATTTTTTTCACATATTCTAAAATTTTCATAATAAAAAATCATTAGAGAACATTAAAGAATTAAAGAAGAAATTTTATAGTAAAAGAATATCTAAATTTATAATATTTTACAAAGGACTTTTTTGCAAAGAAGTTTTTTGCAATTCTTATATTTTGCTAAAAACAGTTTTTTATTTTCAAATCAATTGAATATTGAAAATTAATTGAATTGAATTTTGAAACTGTTGTTCCACACAGTTATAAAAATTAATTTAAAAAAATATACATTAATTTTATATCTTGCACATTTTTCATCTAAATAAACTAATCTCACAAGTATTATTTCCATTTTACTTCTTACATTTTGTTATTTTATTTTGTCATATGTAATATTGATAATACAAAATAAATTTGATAACATAATATTGATAATACAAAACATTGTCGATATGTTAACATATTCCTCCATTCATTATTTCTTCATCACATTTCTGCATCAAACGAATTGATAGTAAAAACTATTAAAAATATAAATAGGCACAAATGGAATGTTTACAGAAAGAATCGAAAGAAATACAAAAAACACATTTCCATTTGTAAATTTTATACCGTTTTAATGAACCGTGGCTACAGGTCGATAATAGAATCCGTATAACGTACCGAATCCCCCGAACTACGAATCCAAATTGTACGCAACTAGTACACACGCGTTTCGCTCCACTTTGCTTTTGCTTGTTCGTTGGCTAACCAAATTAAACGTAATTTGAATTTTGTTTGAAATTCAATCGATGCTCCCGTTGGTATACGGGTTGGCGCGCGTTATCCGCTAAAAAATAATGAAAATTCTACGCCCATACAGAGCCATAGTCACGTTCCATCGTCGAACTTGTCTGTCGATATTTCAAAAATTTTCAAATACTGTCAAACAAAGTAATAGAAAGAACATTGCATCTCCTAGATGTTGATATTTCGTACAAACGTGACTTCATTTCGTTTTATATTTTATGCAAATATTTGTGTACTTATTTTTGAAAATTAGATTTCTTGACTTGACTAAGTTTTCAAATAATGGAATTTATAGAAGTTTATTAGGAATTTTTAAGATTTTAAATATTAGAGATTTAGATAAAGACATCTTCATAAATTTTCCTAAAATTTAACATTTTTATATGTATCAAAATGTTCAAAATTACATCACTGATGAATAATTTTATTAAATAATCTTTAATATTAAATTTAAATGATATTTAAATAGATTAATACAAAAAAGATTAAATTATTACGAAATATTCAATTGTAGGAGATTTGAATTAAGCTGCTTATGGATTTAAGGATTAAAAATTTATTTCTATAAATTTTTATAAATCGGTAGAAATGGATTGGATATTTAATTTTTTTAAATTTTAGATACGTAAATATTGTTTTTATATTTTTTATATTAAAATTATTTCAATGAATATTAAAAAGTGGATATAGAAACAATTCGAATTTTAAAAAAAATCTTTATATGATAAAAATGAAGATACAATAGAACGTCGATTATCTAAACTAATTGGATAATATGTGATAAAATGTGAAAAATGAATGACAAAAATAAGAAAAGACAGAAAGAGTATAATAATAACGATTAGGAGACAAATTTATTGAAATAAATAATTTTCTAGATAATCGATAATAGAAAAAATCAAATATTAAAAATATATAGCATAACAATTAGAAATTAGAAATTAACAATTTTTAAATATGGGTGTTTATTTTATTATGAATAATACAATTATACAAAATAAATTCTTTCTAGATACCATATACGTTTCAGTATATGGTATGTGTTCTGAAGCGTATAAACATCGTTATATATGCTAATTTAAATATATCGTACACATATATTTTGCTGTCATTTGAATAACCGAAATTCGAATAATCGACGTTCGAATAATTTGATGTTCTACCTTATCGATATTTTTATTTCGATTTTTTTTATTCGCGTAATTGTTTTCATGGAAAATGTAAACAGTTACTTAATCACTATGATTTCGTAATAAAAGAATTTCGTAGATAGTTCGTTAAGCATAGCATCGAATCAATTAACTGAATTACGAAATGAAAAATACGAATCGAAAGCAAACTAGATATGCGGGATAGCTGCCACGAATCGATCGTGGTGGCAGAGGCCTCGGACCATAATCCGTTTAATTCTGACTAACGAGACGTCCTTTGTGTCGATTAACTCGTGCCAATCTGGTATCAACCGAA